CCCCAAAACCCCAAAACCCCCAGTTCTTATTGGATTTATAAATATTATGTAGGATATAAAAATATGAAAATATTAAAGTTTAATGCAGTTTAATTAAAGAGATTCTCCGCATGCTGATGAGCTTTACTCGAACCCAGGAGAAATGGTGGAATTCGAAAAGCAAAGTCTTAATGATAATGCTAATTACCACCATATGATGAGGAATGATGAGCAAATAAGTTATAATACGCCAAGTATAATGAGTCATTAGCTACCATTGTAATAATAACCCCCAATAATGCTGGTCAACTAACCTCGCACAGCAAAGCAAGAAGTAATGTTGGTAAGTCTACCTTTCATAAGAATCAATCTCTTAATACATTCAATTTAATATGCATCAAATAATATTCTATTAGAAAGTAAAAGAGATAGGGAGATTGAATAAGCAAGCTATGAGTCAGTTTAAGGTAGGTGAAAAAGACCCTGCTTTGAAATTGCTGAACAAGGCTGAGAAAATGTGTGAAAATTTAAGACACATATGGTATTAGCAATAAAAAGAACTGGGAGACATGCTAACTAATACTTATGCTTGCAAAGCATTTACTACCACTTATAATAATCTGGGAGTGTTTTACAAGTCGTAAGTAACTCTTATAGCACTTATCAAATTAAATATATGATTTATAGATAAGGAAAGACTAACTTAGCCATCAAGTATCTGAAGCAAGTGCTTGAGATTGAATAAGAGATGATAATGGAAAATAAGGAGTAGGAAATAGCCTCTTCCTTTGTTAATATTTGCTCTATATACTCTGAAATGGGAAAGTATATAACTAATATTTAAGCATTCATCTAGGCATGATATAGCACTAACTTATATCAAGAAAGCAGTTGACTATTTAGATGAGGCATATGAGCATAAATTACATGCTATCACTGATTTGAAAGAGAAGAGGCAGTTTGTTTAAATAGCTGCAACAGCTTTTCATAATGCTGGAGTTGAATATGAGTTTTTGAAGATCTTCGATAAGTGCTTGCAATACTATCAAAAGTCTTTTGGGATATGCTTATAGCATCTTGGTTCAGAGCATCCTTTGACTTAGGCTTTCGAAAAAAGTCTTATAGCTGCTTAAAGAAAGATAGATACTATGCCTCCCTAATCATAGGATTTCAGGAAAGATAAATCTAAGATATTGCTTCTGCCACTAAAGAAAAACAAAATAATATCAAATAATCGAACTACTAAATCTTAAAAAGCTAAAGCTATATAGTTGAAATCTAGGAAAATAAATAGGGATTTAAGTTTAATTGAAGATAGTAAAAGTAATAGGAATCATTAAGAACTAACAATTTAAAATGAAGATATAAGCTTTATCAACAGATCTAATCAGAATAAAAGTGTTTCCTAAATAAAGAGACCACTTCCCTATCTTCAGGAATTTAATAGTTAGCTTCAGAAAAACTCAAAAAATGTGAAATCTAAAAAAATGTTAAATGATAACTATATGAGTGAAAGAGCTTTGAGCTAATTGAATAATAGAAGTGGCTTGGGCTAAAAGCATATTAATGACTATACTGATATATCATCAAGAAATCATTAGGATAGATAAGAATACTTCTCAATTCGAGATATACTCTTAAACTCTAGAAATGAGATAAATGCAGGTGAATTTGATTCCTATGATTTTAAAAATCTTATTCACAATAACTCAAAACCTCAACACTAACTTGACTCTCAAAGTACAAATTGAACTATGAGTGTCAATAACATAAAGAATATTTACAAAACTATTGAGAAGCCTTTAAAGAGTTAATCAAAGTAGAATTTTGGAGCCAAAAATAATACCCTCAATATAATGATCGCTAATAATCCAGAGTGAGATAGAGTAGCTAGGAATCAGAGTCAAGACTATATAGATACTAATAGTTTGGTTAGAGGGAATAAGCATAGACTTAATGATGATCTCAAATTCTATATAAATCATAATAACTAAGGCAATCAATTGAATAGACAGAATAGTAAAGAAAGATATCCTGATATTAACACAATAGTTGGTGACAAAGAACTCAATACCACAGTAAGTATAGAAGAGTTAAAAAGGAAAAAATAGGAAATTATCAAGTAATAAAATAAGATAAGAACCAAGAATTTACAAGAACTTAACAATTTAAAGTAAAATAAAAATTAATATGAGAGATAAGAACAAGCTGGTGAATAAGGGGGTTAGGAAAGTGTAAATAGATTTAATGAGGGAAATCATAACTAAAAATCAAAACCTAATCATTAATAAACATAGGAGGAAGGGGAGTAGTCCATGCTAGAATAAAGTCAGAATGATGATGTATCATCTATGCTTAAGCACTAAAAAAATGATTTGAAAATTGACTACTCTAAAGTATTGCCTGTATAGTCTAAATTGAATCCAAAGAAAATCTTAAGTAATGAAGGAATCGACCCATATTACTTCAGATAATAAAAATAGGACATTAAATCAGAATTTATAACTATAAAAAGGATAGAGTACAATGAGTAAATACAGAGAAACTACCTATCACTATACAATAAAGTCTAGAAGTTTCAAGTCATTAGAATAATGAAGGCAGTTGCTGAATTCAAACAAAAATAAAAGATTATGTGGGATAAGAGAGGGATCATTAAATAGTAAGATTAATTAATGCAGCTTATAGAGTCAAGAAAGAACAGTCCTGACAGTAAACTGCTATAATCGCAAGTGAAAGATATATTCCATAATAATGGTAATGACAACGTGACCCTTGATCAAACATTTGGAAATAAACACAAATAATAAATGTAGCAATAGAGAGATTCTCAAGATTTTGATTAGCCTATCGTACTCGGAGACTACAAGGAGGAGATGGAATAGATTAATCTACTAAATAACAGAGCTAGAAGATTAAAAGTAATGAACTAGCTTAAAAGCAAAACTTAGGCTTAGACTTTAACACAAGCTAGTATAAATTTAAACGCAAACAGCATCAGAAATGCATAAATAGACCAAATCAGATCTCATAATAATGAGTTTTTATATAAGGATTCAAATTAGAATGCTTAATCTTAAAAGACTATCGCTTAGAATTAGGTTATCCTGCAGTAGTTTAATAATAATAGCTCGGTGAAAATGTATCCTTAAACTCTTAGTGAGTATTAAAATAGTGGTAATAGCCTAATGTAAGCTTATGAAAATATTCAAGAGGAGTTAAGATAGTAGCATTAGCAATTCCAGCAAAGACAATAGTAAAATTCTATAAAGGTGAATATAAATGATTTACAAAACGTCTTGAGTCATTCATCACTCAACGATGAAACCATTATAAGATTCTAGCCTGATTAAAGCAAGACTACAAGTATAGCATAGACTATTAGAACGAGAATTAAAAGATTAAACTAATAGCAGCAGTAGTAGCAACAATACCCACCTCAACTATGATAAAATTAAATCTAATCTTAATTTCATAATTTGGTTTTCATAAAAATAGTGATGAAGATAATGAAATTATTTAGATTTAAAAATGAATAAATAGTTTTGTTTTAAGTGATTTCTTCAAATTGCCATTCAGTTGAGCACTCCTAGTTCTTTGAGTGATGAGTAATTCCAAATCTTATCTTTCATAGAATAAACATGCAAATTGCCAGCATGTTGGTCAACAGCATACAAATAGTTTCCATAGATCCTGGCTATGTAATCACAATCGTAAGAGAACCAAGCATCCACACAAAGCTTGGAGTTCGGCATTGATTTCAAAATTGCTTCAGACTCTGCTGTAACCTTCTTCAGATCCTTCTTTTAAGACAGCAATTTTAGAATAATAGCTGAGTCTAGAATAAAGCTATTCATCTTAGAACCACCAAATATCAAGATCTCAGTAGAGTTCAAGGGGATTGAACCATAAGAAAAAGTGTTGTTGAAGTCAGAATTTGAAATTGTTACAAGGTTCCATTTCGCTTTCTTGATTTCCTTTGGATCAATAGAATGCCCAATGTCAATGAATTCAATAGTGTTCCAAGAAGTGGTTTGAAGACCAGGGAAGACATAGACGTATCTGTGGCTCAATATGCAAGCAGAAGTGCATGATCTGGCCTTATTCAAGCTACCCACAGGATACCAAACATTAATTGAAGTGTCATACATCTCAACTTAATCACTTGCTTGGGCTTTAGATCCTTTACCAGTGGCACCTCCAATTGCAAAGATAAATTTATCAAACATCAAAGCAATTGCAATACTAAACCTACCCTGCTTCATAGGAGCTTTTTCAGACATATTCATGTTTGTGTCTATCTCCCAGCAACTCTTAGATACTTACCCATCTTGTGATTAGCCTCCTATCATGTAGATATTGCCACTTTAGTTTTGAATAGAACTTGAGCCAGTTGGAATGAGAGTCTGTCCATGAACCTGCTCTTTCACAAAGCCCTGAATCTTGAAGTCCAGGAGATATATTTCATTAGTTCTTGGCTTCAGATAATAGATACTGTTTTAATTCTTGTGTCTGTATCTGTATGATACACTAGACTGATCAATTAGATTAACAGTTGACTGGTTAATATCTTATTTTTCTTATTTATTACTGCTTGAGGCAATTGAGTCTTTGTTTGATTTGGTATCTGCTTTAACTCTATCCTTTGGTTTCTTCTCTTCTTCAAAATCCTGTTGCTTTTACTGCTCTTGTTTCACTCTGCTTGACTTTAAATTATTATTACTGTTTTATTCCTATTGGTTGTTTCTGGTTGATGTGGTATTCTCCATGATCTCAGGTATCATAGAGAGCGAGGGATCAACAAATCCCTGACCTCCTTAGCCATTATACTGTCTGATCTCACTAATATCTAGATCAATGGTGTCTTTGAGATTCGTAGGATTCTATCTAGCCATGTATTACTCCACATTCAGTTGCTATTGTTGCTACTACTGCTTACTAAGAGCGGTGGTCTACCTTTGATCCTAACCTCTGCTAGAGTTCTAAGATTACTATTAGAACTACTGTTAGTTTGTTACAGTTTAGGATCTACTGCTTGACTCAATTTAAGGCATTGAATTCTTTATGGTTGATTTCTAGGCAGTTGACTATGAAATTGTAGAAGTATGCAATTGTGACTTGGAACCTAAGTTGGATACTTGAGATGAGTATTTGTTAGTTGAAGGTCCTAATTAAGAATGATTGATTGTAGCTATGCTCTCATTAGCCTATTTATTACTACTACCTTATTTTAACTTGTTCAATTTTTTCTCAAAGTGCTGTACATACTTAAGTCCTATTTTATTGGACAGACCTTCTAAGCTAACTGTTTTATTCTAAGCATCTCGCATCTTCATTGACTATTTCACGATATATGCATCTTGTTTTCTGATTTCTGCTTCTAAAGCGTTCATCTGATTTCTATTTTACTCTATTACAACAACCTTTTGATCTGCTGTTGCATTTGAGATTAGCGTGAATATCTTCATTATCTAAACATACTTGTCCCTCAAGGCTTCCAACTACTGATTCAACCTTCTATCTTCTCCAATGAACTCCTTCAAGTCCTTAGAGTTTTCAATGTCCTTTAGACTGAGAATGAACTGATTGGTAAATACATCAACCCACCTCTGAAACTGTGATCTAACATCCATTAGGATTTTCCTGATCTCATTTTTCCAGCTCTTCATTCCGTTCATCTTGGTGTTGTTTGAGGTGATTGCATCTGCTGCCATCCTCTTTATTCTTTCATACTCCTCCATCTCCTTCTTGAACTTCTTATCGATGTATATAAGATCCTATTCCTAGAGCAGACATTTGAAGCATTTGTATTTCTGCTACTGATTAGAGAAGAATACTGCTTGACTTTTATGAGATTCGCACAGAATTTGAAGTTGAGAGTCCTGATACTTGGAGTCAGATTCAACCAAGAAGGTGTCCTCATGAGGATTGCTGCTTAAGTGGTTCATTTGAGAGGAGCTTAGATAGTTGAAGTTTGTAGAAAATCGATCGGTGGACTTATCAAATGATATTAGATCTTTTTGCATTTTAATTATTATAGACATAAATGGAACATTCATTAAACTCTAAAGCAAATCACGTTATAAATAAATATTAAGATATGAATTGTTTTTATAATGCTAAATCATATTTATTATCTATAAAAGAACGATGGGGTTTTGGGGTTTTGGGGTTTTGGGG